CAGGCCGGCGACCAGGACTGCGGTGAGTGAGCGTGCGCGCGCGCGTGCGCGCGACCCCCTGGGACGCCGCGCGGGAGGGGGCCGCGTCTGCGGCTCTTCCGGGGTCTCGCGAGCCGGCGCGGGAATAGAGTGCGAGCCCGGGCGGCCTTGACTGGCACGGCCGCGCTCCTTAGGCGGGTCTCCTCAGGCCTGTCCCCGCCGCCGCCGCCGCCCAGACTTGCCCTCCAGCTCTGGGAGCCGCGGCTTTGGCCCTGCTTCGCCGACACTCGCTTTCCTTCCGCCTTCTGCCAGGTGTGCAGTTCCTGTTTTCCTTTGGCCGTGAGTCAGTGGAAGGGGTCGGGGGTGTTTGACAGTTGTTTTAATGGATTATCACTGCAGGAGGGCATGGCGACCCACTCCCGAGTTCTCGCCTGGAGAATCCCCTGGACAGAGGAGCCTGGCGAGCCATGGGGTCGCACAGAGCCGACTGGACTGAGCGACTCAGCCCAAGAGGTGTCACTGTCCTCAGTCGGTGCCAGACGGAGGAGTGTTCCCAAGTGGTGGCAGGAAAGAGCCGATTTTTGGTGTTTTCCTGGTAATCGGCCTGGAAATCCTGTAGTGCTCTTAATCTAGTTATTAAAGTGCTGGAGATATTTACCTGATGCTAAACTAACAGTATTATTAACTTTGTCATTATTTTTTGCTAACATTAGATGTTTCTAAGACCTAGTGTACTCAAAGACTCTCTGTCAAAAGACTTGACATGTGTCCTTCAGGTTTTTCACAGTCCCACGAAGCAGTTGCCATATTTATCTCCACTGACAATGAGAAAACTCTGGGCTCAGGGAAATTTACTTGCCCAAGGTCACACCTCTGGTATGGGGAGACTGATGAGTATTGGAAACCGAAGATATCTGACTCCAAAGCCTGTACTAAACCGTCACCTAGCAGACTTTGTAGTCATTAATGTAAAATTGATGTCCTTAATACCATGCAGATGAGGGTGCTGCGGTCTTTGAGGGGCTCAGTCAAGTTTGCTGATATTGACTTCTCAACAGAAACTGTCTTCATTGTATGCCAGACTGGATGGATGTGGGACTAGGAGGATTGATACAGAGCTGCAGCACAGTTTTGCTGTGAAGGAGACCGCAGACTAGGGGGTGATGATTTAGGTACTTAGTTGTGTCCAACTCTTGTGACCCCATGGACTGTAACCTGCCAGGGTCTTCTGTCCATGGGATTCTCCAGGCAAGAATACTGGAGTGGGTTGTCATTTCTTTCTCCAGGGTATCGTCCCGACCCAGGAATGGAACCCGGGTCTCCTGCATTGCAAGCTGATTCTTTACGGACTGAGCTAGAGACAAAAGGCACACTTAACCTCCAGTATCAGAGACTTGGATGTGCTAAGTGTCCAAGAGGAAGAGATATCCAGTATCCCTGGCATCAGGGAGGTTGCCCACTAGAAGTGAAGAGTGAGAAGAGGTGTGATTGGGGTTGAGCCAATCTGAGAAGTAACCACTAGAAAGGAAAGAGGAGTTCCAAGAGAGAAGCCAAGGAACTAGAACATTTGTTAGAGGAAGTGGGCCCCAGTGGCAGGTGTGAAAAATTCCACTGGTTTTGGGAAAGAAGCCATTGGTGTTACTCATATTGAGAGTGGTTTTCCCCAGGCATAGAAAACAAACTTACTGCTACCAAAAAGGAAGAAGGGGGAGGGATAAATTAGGAAGATAGGATTGACATATACACACTACTCTCTCTCTATAAAATCAACAAGGACCTCCTGTATAGCACAGGAAGCTATAGTCATTATTTGTAATAAACTATAAAGGAAAAGAATCTCTGTATCAGAGTGCCAAATGGGAGAGCATGTACCCTCCCAAAAGGGTGCAGCCACTGCTTAGCACTAGCTTATTGTTGCCATCCAGGAATGTATGCCTAGCATAGTGAGATCTTTTGATATTTTTATGAGAGCATTGGGATCTAGAATATCATGGGATCTCTTACTTTTTTTTGGCCCTTCCACATAACATGCAGGATCTTAATTCCCTGTCCAGGGACTGAACCCTTGCCCCATTTAGTGGAAGTGTGGAGTCTTGACCACTGGGGAAGTCTGGAAATCTCTTACTACAAAAGGTGTTGGTAATTAACTAAAACATTGAAAAATACAGTGATATTTTCCCAGGAAAAGTCTTACTTGGAAGGCTGGTGGAATTCAAATGAGGCATACAGATTAATTAATAACACTGTTTCAATGTTAATTTCCTGGTTTCTGTAGTTACACTACGGTTATATAAGATGCTAATTTGGAGGAAGTTGAGTGCAGGATATGTGAAAACTCTTATATTTACAAGTTTTCTCTCTATATAAATCAATTTCAAAGTAAAAAGTTTAAAAAATTAGTGAAATGCTGGAGTCTCATTCTGTGCAAGCCAAACGTAATACCTCTGCTGGCCACCAATCTGAGGCCTCTGGTTTTCATCTGGGAATTTTTGGCCTCTTCAGTGGCTAGTACACCAACTTGTATATGGTAGACATTCAGTAAATACTAGTGCTTTGCTTTGGAAAAAATGTTTACAAAGTGATAATGGTGTAACATCTATGAATTATTTGACTTTTAAAACTCTTTTTTTTTTTCTAAACAGGTTTTACGAAAGAGAGGAACTGTCCTACTTCTAGATTTTTTTCCAGTTTTTTCTATAAATCAAAACATCTGAAAATGGAGGCCTAAAACTCTTAAAAGGGACTTAGTCTGATCTGAGGGAGGTAGTTTTGTGCATGAATAAACAAAGTAGATAACTGGAGTTTTTGGTATCCAAAGAATGTTAATTTAAAAAATATGATCTAGTTATAAAAGGTATAATTACACAGTAATAATAGGTTTGATTCTGAATTTGACTTGTGGATATAGAGAAATGATTGTAGCCAAGACATATTGTTGAAGTACTTTTTTTCAAAGTTGGCCAGGTGGTTTCCTACTGGCTGCTGTGTAGAATAGAAAAAAAATTGTACCTGTGTTTGGTAAAGATTTAAAAATGAATGACAGTTATCTAGAACAAAGAGTTAATAGTCAGCCTTCTGCTAAGTTAGAGAAATATTCATATAAAACCTTTGGCATGTTAAAAGATTTCTGCAGTGACAAAGAAATGTCAAAACCAAAACTTTTTGATAGGTACAACAAAATAAGAGTAAGTGTGAAAGGTAAACGTGATGATTGGTAAAGAAACTAACCATTTCTAAGCCTATCGATATTTTGAAAGTAAAAAATTTAGTTTGTTCAAATGGGTTGTTATCTCTGAGAATAATTAGAATGAGAGTGATGGCTGGGTGATTACTTTTGGTAAGTGAACAAACTTAATTCAGAAAGAAACACACACAGAGATAGTAGTAACAACACACAAAGACAGTAATAACACCAAGAGTTTTATATTTCAAAATAACACAAATAATATTATACATTTGATAACAATGTGTAAAATTATTGACTAATGAAAGGAATATTGAAGTTAAACAGAATAATTCACCTTTGAGGGAAATAATCACTGGTATTGAGATGTTTCTGATGCCACCTGGAAGGAAAGCATTGAAGTCTGCAGTAAAAAGCCTCAATATATGTAAGACCCAGGAAACATGCTTGCAAATCACTTCTGTAAGAACCATGATGACTTGTTTATTGGTCATTACTGATACTATTGATGTAGACCTGCCTACTGGTAGCTAGTTTTAATTGAGAAATTCTGAATTTTGAGGTCTCTGCTGTTCAGAAGAAGTGGATTGTGACGAAGTAAATTTATTATGTTTTGTCAAGATAAATTCTGGTTCAAGGTATGCTATCTGTGAAATAGTTTCTGACAAAAGCCAAATTTTTTTAATTCATCTGTTTTTTTTTTTTCTAGTTTATTATCCATCTTAGCTTGGAGACTCAGCACTCTGACTTTTGACCGTTTTTAAAAATAAATTCATTATCAAGAGATTTGATGTTGGCTCTCAACAGCATGAAACTGAGCCTAAAAGATCAAATGAGCAAATATACTCATCTCTGATAGTTTATTTGAAATGGAATGTTTAATTTGCTAAGATCTAGAGGCATCACTATGACTCAGCAGTCAGGTACCTCTCTATGGAAGTAATTATTATTTAATAAATCTTGAAACCAGGTCTTAAGATCTGTGAGCTAATTCTGATACTATTTCAGTTCTTCATCTGGAAGAAAATTTTGGATTGTTTTGTTCTCCCTATTAAAATGGTTGTAGGAAGAATAATTAATTTGAGTAAGATTTAGGATATACTGCATTTCACTGAATCTAAGATATCATCGTTTGTAAAGCATGCCATTATTTTATGTACCTTCTAGAAATAAAAATCCTGTTAATTAAAATGTGATATGCCATTGATTGTAAGATACCTCTCCATAACAGAGATATTGAAACATGTGCCTTAGAATCAGTGAAATATAATAATCCATTCTTTTCTTCTTTTGAGGTAGGTTTTACACTTTCTTTTCCCTGGCTCTAAAATTTAACAATTTAAAAAAAGCAGAATAAGTATAGTTTGAGTATTTTTGTGTATATGGGACACTTAAGCAGCATAGCTTTCTGCCAAAACAAACTATGTGAGACATTTTATCTTCAGGCTGACTGAATGTCACTGAAGCATACTAGTGGAGAGGGTGACCTACCTATGGAGACACCGGACACAAAATTGCATATTGATGACCTAACGCATTCTACATTTTTATGAAGGTTTTAATTTTCATCACAAGGTACTGTGTAGCATCATGTTTACATTGTATATATCGAGAGTATGCAGAGGTGCAAATTGTACATAACTGTCCCTTAAAATGTATCAGTATAGGATTTAGAATCTTGCCATGCTGTAATCCTAAATGCATAGAAGAAAAAAGAATGAAAGATTTCCTGTTCTAAGTGTTCAGCCTAGTACTAAAATGAATAAAATCAAAAGCCATGCACAAAACTACCTCCCCAGAGAAAGACTAGTCCCTTTTCCTCCCCATCCATTTCATTATGAACATAGTAGAAAATAGCGTATTCTTATCAAATTTGATGAAGAGTGCCAACATGTTTGAACTGAAGTATGACTTTTCATGTGAACTCTACCGAATATCAACATATTCAACTTTCCCCGCCGGTGTTCCTGTCTCAGAAAGGAGTCTTGCTCGTGCTGGTTTTTATTACACTGGTGTGAATGACAAAGTCAAATGCTTCTGTTGTGGACTGATGCTGGATAACTGGAAACAAGGAGACAATCCTATTGAAAAGCATAAAAAGTTGTATCCTAGCTGTAGCTTTGTTCAGAATCTAAATTCAGTTAACGTTTCAGGAGCCTCTTCTCAGCCTACTTTTCCTTCTTCGTTAACAAATTCCACACATTCACTACTTCCCAGTTTGGAAAACAGTGGCTACTTCAGTGGCTCTTATTCAAGCTTTCCATCAAATCTTTTAAACTCTGGACCAAATCAAGATTTTTCTGCCTTGAGGATAAGTTCCTACCCTTGTGCAATGAATACTGAAAAAGCCAGATTACTTACCTTCCAGATGTGGCCGTTGACTTTTCTGTCACCAACAGAACTGGCAAAAGCAGGCTTTTACTACATAGGACCTGGAGACAGAGTGGCTTGCTTTGCCTGTGGTGGAACACTGAGCAATTGGGAACCAAAGGATGATGCTATGTCAGAACACCTGAGACATTTCCCCAGCTGTCCGTTTTTAGGAAATCAGCTCCAAGGCACTTCAAGATACACTGCTTCTAATCTGAGCATGCAGACATATGCAGCCCGCATTAAAACGTTCTGCAACTGGCCCTCTAGTGTTCCAGTTCATCCTGAGCAGCTTGCAAGTGCAGGTTTTTATTATGTGGGTAAGAAGCTTAACCTGATAATTAAAAAAATATTCAACATGTTTATCTTATACATTTTAGTGGTAAAATTATATGGATTCATAAGTTTTGGTCCAAAATTAATTTTAGGTCACAGTGATGATGTGAAATGCTTTTGCTGTGATGGTGGACTGAGGTGTTGGGAATCTGGAGATGATCCATGGGTGGAACATGCCAAGTGGTTTCCACGGTAATTGTTTTGAGATTTTCTATGCACATGTGTGTAAGATGAGTTTTATGCATGTAACTTAATCAACTGTTACTTTAGTCTGTCTTTGTTTAAAAAATACATTTGTGAATAAATTTAGGGACGCTTACTTCGAAAAATAACTGCTTAAAAAGTTTTGGTGGAAATTTAAGATAAATAGTTCAGGATTTCTTTGTGTATAATTAATATATATATGTATATATTAAAATAACATGCTCATTATAAACCCAAGTCACTTATTATAGGAAAGTACAGAGAGAAAAAATTTAAATGTTGAGAAATCTCACCACCTAAAGATGACCACAGTTACCATTTTCATGAACATCCCTCCAGAGACATCTCAAATGTATAAAATTTTATATAAATTAGATATATGTACTATTTTGAAACTTTTCAGTCAATGTTATATCTTGAACATATTTTCACTTGAACACTCAATAATATTAATTACCTATTACCAGGCACTGTTGTAGATATTTAATATAGTTGGTTGAACAAAATCAAAACTCCTGGTCTCATATGCTAAACTTATAGCAGGAGAAATCAAACATTTATTACAAGCTTCATAAATAAATTATATAGCATGTTGGAATATAATAAGTGCTTTGGATAAACAGAAAAAAAGAGAGATGGATGAAGGAGATCAGAAGTACCAGACTGATTGCAAAATGAAACAGAGTCATCAGGGTAATTATAGATCCATTTCATCTGTTTTGGTCACTGCATAGCATTTTGCTGTCATGTCTTTTGATTATTCCATGCTTGTTTTCACTCCTTTTTAAATTGAAATCAGGTAGCCTTTAATTATATTTTTAATGGTCTTCTAATATTTATTAATGTTGATTACTAAATGTTTACATTATATAAGTTTTTAATACTAGTCTTCCCTTGTAACAACTTTGCACTCCCCAAATATTTCAGATTTCAAAAATTATGAAGATTAAAAAGAATACCTTTAAAAAACATAGACGTTTTTAAAAAGTGCTGCTAGCTTTCTATTGTAATTTTGTGAATATATAAAGAACTGATAATTTTGCTTTGATAGAGTCATGAATTCATTTTGTACTTAAATTCAATAATGGATATATATTATCTAGGAACTTCCAAACTTGTGAATGTCTGACGTACTAGAAAATGTTCATCTTCCTCATTCTTTCTCTTTGTATATTTTCAGCTTTTAAATGTACATACATACATACAGTATCATTTATTAGGGAACTTTCTACCTTGTCTCCTTGTTATTAGTGTTCAGAGTATTTTTAGAAATCTTGGAAGTTGAAAAGAGCAGCTTTTCAACTCGGAAATGGAGACAGCCTTGCTTCTCTCAGTAGACTTGAGAGCCTCAGGACCTCTACCTGCCTCAGCCTTGGCTGATTACCAGTTACAGCCCTCCTCTTGCTGATATTTTGCTTTTGACTGCATTATCTCTTACCACTTCCTATATGCTAAATGAATAGTCAAGTGGTTATAATTATGCTTATGTTCATTTGAAATATTTACCAGGCTACAAATGGCCAGATTAAAATAACCAGATTTAAATTTGTTTAAATTGAAATAACCAGATTTAATTTTGTTTACATTTTAGGTGTGAGTACCTAATACAAATTAAAGGACAAGAGTTCATCAGTCGAGTTCAAGCCAGTTACCCTCATCTACTTGAACAGGTAAGGGACAGTTTTTTAGTGTAGGTATGGAAGCTTTTGGATGGTCTCTTATTCCTTAATGTTCCGTGTAGTCAGGAGTTTTCTGGTTTTCGCAAGATTTGGGCTTAAGTCTCCTGCCTCTGGATTTCAGTTTTATTCTTCCAATAGTCTCAAGACTTCTCCAACTATACAGCACTGATAATAAAACTTCTAGGTTAATGGTGAAAAGATTCTCCACCGTGAGAGACAACCAGAGAGGTTCACAGAGTTACATGAAGAATAGGAGAGGGAGGAAGGAGATAGAGGTGATCAGGAGGAGAAAAGGGGGACTCAAGAGGAGAGAGACAGATCTACGCAGTTATCTGTTCCCAAAGTGTTCTCCGTAGCCCAGACACCCACAAAGATTCACAGAGTTGGACTGGGAAGAGAAGGGGAAAGGAGGAAATAGAGGTGTTCCGAGGTAGAAAACAGAGAGTCAAAAGTGGGAGAGTAATCACCACACTCCTGAATAGAAATGGGAACTGAATATTGGATTCTTAAATGACCAAAATTTATATCACATACTACTGAAAAACAAAGATTAAAAATCTAGTGTAGAGGTTAGACTCTTTGAAATACAATATTTAAAAACAAAAACAAAAAAATTTAGAAATGTATATGAAGTTTGATTTAAAAATAGGGTTTCTCTCTCTCTCTCTTTTTTTTTTTTTTTGGCAAGGTTATAGTGAAATGCAAATGAAAATTAAGGAATAATAGAGGAGTATTAGGGGACTTTAAAAGGAAATAGGAGAGAAAAACAAGAAAAAAAAAATAAAAAAAAATTTTTTTTTTCCCTAATTAAAAAAATCGTAAAAATATATGAAAATGAAAGTTGAGGAGTAATGGGGGAGTAATAGGGAATTTTAAAAGAAAATAAAAGAGAAAAAATAAAAAAAAATTAAAAAAAGGATAGAAAAAAAATTTTTTTTTTAATTAAAAAAAAAAAAATATATATATATATCTAGGAATTTCTCTGGAGTTGTTGCAGTCAGCGTAGGTTCAGTTCAATTTCAGATAGCTCCTCTTTCCAGCTCACACTTCTCGATATCTGTAGGCCCCTTCTGGTGTAGTCGGTGTTACCTTCAGGGATTTTAATCTGTTGCACCAGTCCTTTCTGAAGCGGTTCCCTTTGTTTATTTGGCTTCTGTTTGCCGTCTCTTTGGTGTCTAATTTCCGCCCTGACACAGGCGGGTGGAGGTGATCTCTTATTTAGGTTCTCTAGTTCAGTTCAGTCCTGCTACGGGGAGGGCGGGGCGCTGCAGACAGACACCGCTCTGTGTGGATAGCACTCACCGTGTTCCGGCCACACTGGGTTTGCCCCGCTCACGGGTGTCGGTGCTTTCCCCGTCTACACTGCTCAGGCTCCCGGCTGCTCTATATGGAGCGGGCCCTGCGTTGAGTGCGGTTCCAGTTTTCGGGTACTCCACAAAAGCGCAGATTCGGTTGCGCCTGCGTTTTGTGCCTTCCCCAGCCTGAGCGGTTCAGGCAGCCAGAGGCTTGGGCGTACTCTCCCCGGGTGCGGCGTGCCTTTTCCCTCCGCGTCGAGCGGCCCAGGCAGCCAGAGGCTTGGGCGCACTCTCCCCGGATGTGGCGCGCCTTTTCCCTCCGCCGCGGGCAGCTCAGGCAGCCAGAGGCTTGGGCGCAATCTCCCCGGGTGCGGCGCGCTTTTTCCCTCCTCGGCCCCAGCGCGCACCGCCAGTCGGGTCTCAGGAAGTCTTTAGATCAAGGGACAGTTTTTTAAAATCATTTGTTAAATTGGCTTTCTGATAAATTGCTTTCTGATAATTACAGAGAGTAGATTTTAGTGAAAAGACAAGAATCACTTTAAAAATACACTTTCTTTTTTCAACACCCAGCATGATCTTAGGGAGTGCTCAGTTCAGTTCAGTTCAGTCGCTCAGTCGTGTCCGACTCTTTGTGACCCCATGAACCGCAGCATGCCAGGCCTCCCTGTCCATCACCAACTGCCAGAGCCTGCCCAAACTCATGTCCATTGAGTTGGTGATGCCATCCAACCATCTCATCCTCTGTTGTCCCCTTCTCCTCATGCCCTCAATCTTTCCCAACATCAGGGTCTTTGCCAATGAGTCAGCTCTTCGCATCAGGTGGCCAAAGTATTGGGGTTTCAACTTCAACATCAGTCCTTCCAGTGAACACCCAGGATTGATCTTCTTTAGGATGGACTGGTTGGATCTCCTTGCAATATAGGGGAATCTCAAGAGTCTTCTCCAACACCACAGTTCAAAAGCATCAATTCTTTGGCGCTCAGCTTTCTTTATAGTCCAGCTCTCACATCCATACATGACTACTGGAAAAATCATAACCTTGACTAGACGGACCTTTGCTGACAAAGTAATGTCTCTGCTTTTTAATATGCTGTCTAGATTGGGCATAACTTTGCGTTATGTAAGCGTCTTTTAATTTCATGGCGGCAGTCACCATCTGCAGTGATTTTGGAGCCCAAAAAAATAAAGTCAGTCACTGTTTCCCCATCTGTTTGCCATGAAGTGATGGGACTGGATGCCATGATCTTAGTTTTCTGAATGTTGAGCTTTAAGCCAACTTTTTCACTCTCCTCTTTCACTTTGATCAAAAGGCTCTTTAGTTCTTCACTTTCTACCATAAGGGTGGTGTCATCTGCATATCTGAGGTTATTGATAATTCTCCCGGCAATCTTGATTCCAGCTTGTGCTTCCTCCAGCCCAGCATTTCTCATGATGTACTCTGCATATAAGTTAAATAAGCAGGGTGACAATATTCAGCCTTGACCTACTCCTTTCCCAATTTAGAACCAGTCTGTTGTTCCATGTCCAGTTCTGACTGTTGCTTCCTGACCTGCATACAGGTTTCTCAAGAGGCAGGTCAGGTGATCTGGTATTCTCATCTCTTTCAGAATTTTCCACAGTTTATTGTGATCCACATAGTCAAAGGCTTTGGCATAGTCAATAAATAGTAGAGAGTGCTACTCTTTGGATAACAGCAGATCCAAAATTAGAAAGCTTCGAAAAATAATATTTAAGTTATGTTTCTGAATATTACTCTAGTAAAGTTGTAATAAATTAAATTACTTGAGGAAAAAATTGACTAGGTAGTAGCATTTAAGTTATACTCTATATCACCATGATGATGAGTTATATATATATATATATATATATATATATATATTTATATACTCTATATATATTTGTATATTATATAAATTTTTCTTAAAAGGATTTGAGGAAGATAACTGTATTGCTCTTTCTAATCTTCCCAGAAAAGCAAATAAGAACTTATAGAATAGCTTGAGAGTCAAACACTTCCTAACCATGGTCAATGGAACTAATATTAGATCCAGCTTATCCCAAGGAAACACCCAGATAATGGAAGATCTTTGGGATAATAGGTTAACAATGATTGTCTGGTGGATCACTGAAAAGGTATAACCCTTTTTGTGCCTTATTGAAAATGAGTTTTATTTGTTAATACATACACACATGAAGAAAGTCTTACTAGTTTATGGCCTACAGATTTGCTGTTGAATGTAAATAAAATTCTGCTTTTGACATAAAAAACCATGTTGCCAATAAACAAGTTGGTTTGCAATAAATTGGATAAGTCTCTTGATTAATTTTTATTGCAATGAACAAGATAAAATTTACATTTTAATTTATGTACCTTTTTTTGTAGCTGTTGTCTACTTCAGATAATCCAGAAGATGAAAATACAGAGTCACCAAGTATGTATACTAATAATAATTGCTACATTTAAATATTAGAACCATTTGATACTGTTAAAATTGAAAGCTGATAATTACATAATATACATTTATGTTATGATTTATAATTTACAATGAATTTTCAAATACACATAATATTTTTTAAACCTTAGTGCATATCATAATTGCCTGAGGAACTCCAAAAAAATATAGATTTCTAGTCTCACTTTAACCCTACTGAATCGAATCACAGTATCTAAAAGTGGGGCTTGACTGTCTCTAGTTTTAACAAACTGCATACATCCAGTTTTCAGACCAGTGTTGGAACAGGTGCACTATGACATTAGATTGCATACATATTATTTCTATGAAATGGAGAGAGTAGAAAATAATATTCCCAATTTTTCAATGAGGACTTGGAAGCTCAGAGAGGTTAAGTGATCTGTCCATCACCTCAGCCTAAAAGATGATAGAGCCAATATCTGAATAAGCCCTTCTCCATTATCTAGTGTTAAATTCAATTCAATAAATATTTGTTGTGCTTCTGCTGTTCTGAGAAATGAATAAAGAACAGAATAAATGTAACACCTGTTCTCTTGAGTCTGAGGGATACAGGAAAATACACGGATAGGATAATGGTGCAGAAAATAAAGTGGGTTCTGAGAGCACATATGGGACAATTAGCCCAGACTTGGAAGATCGGAAAAGCCTTTCCAGAAGAAGTATTTGTCTTAGAACAGAAGCATACTGAAGAATGAAAGTTAACCAAATGACAAAGGGAGGAAAAGAATATTCTCGGCAGAGAGAACAGCACGTGAAAGACTTAAGTGACAAAGGAGAACAGGCACATTAGAAGAACTGAACAAACATTTGTATGGATAGAAGTAGGATTTGTGAACAGATAAATGAATGAGACAGGCTGGCTTAACAGTGGTCAGCACAATAGGCAGAATTTGACCCAGCAGCTGTCAGTTTGTGACTTCGGGGCTAGAAGGCAAATGAGTAAGTGGCAAGTGATGAGGCTGAAGGGATTAGGGTCCATATTGTGTAAGATCTTATAAGGCACAATTGAATGTTACCTTAAAAGCAAAGGAATTGTGGATGGAATTTATAGAAATTCAGATTTGTGGTTTTAAAAAGTCATTCTGATTACAATATTGAGAATAAATTAGATAGGAACAGTATTGTAGAAGGCCACTGCAGTAATAGGGATGAGTGATGACAATTGGCCTATTTCAAAATTATATAAAACATTTTTAATTTAGAAAGCTCATTTGTTCATTCAACTTGGGGAAAAAAGAATCTCAATACTGGTTGGGATGATCCACCAGCACCAACATTCTATTTCTTTCTCCCACTTGTTATGCCAGATAATGCATATTTTGTATCTGAATACAATGTTCCATATTCCTATTTTAGTGACTGAACATGTATATCATTATTTTAAATTTACAAAAGGTAGTACAAAAATAGTACCTGCATATTTTCTGGGCCTTATGTTTTTGATATTGTAACAAATTGCAATTAAGAATATATACAAACTCTCCCATAATTTGTTAAATTCCTTATTTCATATAGTTATTCATTTTGGACCTGGAGAAAACCATTCAGAAGATTCAGTCATGATGAATACACCTGTGGTTAAAGCTGCTTTGGAAATGGGCTTTAGTAGAAGGCTGGTAAAGCAGACAGTTCAGAGTAAAATCCTAATAACTGGAGAGAATTATAAAACCATCAGTGATCTTGTATTAGATTTACTTAATGCAGAAGATGAAATAAGGGAAGAGGAGAAAGAAAGAGCAACTGAGGAAAAAGAATCAGGTACACATATTTATAGTCTCTATTTCCATAAGGATGCCGCTGTATATGTTATTTTTTTGTGTATTTTTTTGTATGTTATTGACAATATACTCATTAATCCAATTGGATTTTAAGTTCAGTCTTCTACTTTTGAATTCTGCAAACTTCCTTCACATTAAAATATATTTGATTGCTTATTAGTAAATTGAAATTGTATATATTGAGTGAAAGCAAATTTTCCGCCTTTGCTTAATTTCTGTTTTTACTCTGAATAATTGATTGTGTATATAACTATTCATGGCACATTAAAAAAGTTTTGTTTTTTTAAAAATGTTTGGCTGCACTGGGTCTTCCTTGCTGCACATGGGCTTCTAGTTGTGGTGCCCGGCTTCTCGTTGCAGTGTCTTCTCCTCTTGTGGAGCATGAACTCTGTGGCACTCGAGCTTCAGAGTGCATATGTAGTAGTTGTGGTGTGCAGGCTTAGTTGCTCCTTGGCGTGGGCCATCTTCCCAGACCAGGGGTTGGACCAGCGTCCCCGGCACCACAAGGTGGATTCTTAACCGCTGGCCCACCAGGGAAGCCATGGCACAGTTTTGATCCCAGACTAGTTGCTCTCTCCTCGTTGCTGTAAATTGGGGTGTAATCAGGGACAACTGTTAATAGTAGCATAACAGTGTGTCTCAACCTCTGACTAAAAAGTAATGTACAAATTATCATTAAGTTTCCTATTTTCCCACACAAGATCTGAATTTCCCTTTGGAGTGTCTTAGTGCTGGGATACTGTTTTCTCTCAAGACAAGTTGCCTATGACCTTACCTGCTAGCCATGTGTTCTCCTTGTTACCTCTGCTCTGTTGCTCTTCAAAAAACCCTCTCTTCTCATCATCTTCATTCTCATCTGGTTGCTCTGCTTCCATCATCACTTTGGCCTGGACAGGGAGAAATGTTGATCTCTCCTTTGCCACTCTTTCTGAAGCATGGACTAGATCCAGGAGTCCTTTCAACAGCCGAAAACAGACTACAACTCTTAACAAGCTCTTACTGGAGATTTAGGAATCACAGAAGGACATTATATCACACATGGCAATTGACAGCTATAACTGTATGTGTGCTCTCTTGGTGCTCCTTATCCCCATCCTCATGAATCTCTCTGCCTAGCTCCTGATTCATCTCTTTGTAGCTCTGGCCAGTTTATACAAATGACTAGGAAAGTCTCAAGCAAGGCTCAGTTCAGTTCAGTTCAGTTCAGTTGCTCAGTCATGTCCGACTCTTTGCGACCCCATGGACTATAGCACACCAGGCCTCCCTGTCCATCACCAACTCCCAGAGCTTGCGCAAACTCAACTCTATTGAGTCAGTGATGCCATCCAACCATCTCATCCTCTGTCATCCCCTTCTCCTCCTGCCTTCAATCTTTCTCAGCATCAGGGTCTTTTCAAATGAGTCAGTTCTTCGCATCAGGTGCCCAAAGTGTTGGAGTTTCAGCTTCAACATCAGTCCTTCTAATAAATGTTCAGGACTGATTTTCTTTAGGATGGACTAATTGGATCTCCTTGTAGTCCCAGGGACTCTGAAGAGTCTTCTGCAACACCACAATTCAAAAATATCAATTCTTCGGTGCTCAGCTTTCTTTATAATTCAACTCTCACATCCATACACGGCTACTGGAAAAACCACAGCTTTGACTAGACGGACCTTTGTTGGCAAAGTACTGTCTCTGCTTTTTAATATGCTGTCTAGGTTGGTCATAACTTACCTTCCAAGGCGCAAGTGTCTTTTAATTTCATGGCTGCAGTCACCATCTGCAGTGATTTTGGAGCCCCCCAAAAGAAAGCCTGTCACTGTTTCCATTGTTTCCCCATCTGTTTGCCATGAAGTGATGGGACCGGATACCATGATCTTAGTTTTCTGAATGTTGAGCTTTAAATCAACTTTTTCACTCTCCTCTTTCACTTTCATCAAGAGGGTCTTTAGTTCTTCACTTTCTACCATAAGGGTGGTGTCATCTGCATATCTGAGGTTATTGATAATTCTCCCGGCAATCTTGATTCCAGCTTGTGCTTCATCCAGTCGAGCATTTCTCATGATGTACTCTGCATATAAGTTAAATAAGCAGGGTGACATATTCAGCCTTGACGTACTCCTTTCCCAATTTGGAACCAATCTGCTGTTCCATGTCCAGTTCTAACTGTTACTTCTTGACCTGCATACAGACTTCTCAGGAGGCCCCCAAATATCCACAAAGCCCAGAATGAGAAAGGTTTGCACCCCTGCCCTTGTCCATGGCCATCTGAGACCTCTTTCTTCTCAGGATGGTTGACTGTGAGATTGTCCCCTCCATTCCTGGATAAATCTACCCCTGGCCAACCCAGATAGACATATCAGATCGTAGTGATACAGCATCCTCTATTTACCAAAGTGTGACTTACTTATTCAGTTGTACATGTCACCAGTATAGCAGTAGTATAGTCCAAATTTATCTTTGCCCAGCCTTACCAAGTTCTCTTTTTCATTTTAAAGGGAAGATAAGGCTGCATGTCCTTCCTGTAGTTGTCACATTCTTAACACTGGTTGTCAGTGAGCAACTGCTCAAAGAAGAGAACACTCATCTCCACAACTGTTTAAAAACCCTATGAAGTCTAAAGCCATCCAGCTATAAAATACTTATTTTTCTTCAAAAAAAAAATCAACAACAACAACAAAAAAATCAACAGTTTCCAGATGACTCCAAGTCAATCGTATAAGATAACTTGCATTGTCAAAAAGATCTAGTAATTTCTCAGCTCACTGCTGTAGCTACAGTACCTAACACAATGTCTGCAGTCTGTGCCCAAGAAATATTTTTTGAATGACAATGAAAATTCTTATGTTTCTGTTACTAATTAATTTATAGTTTCCCAGAATGGTAGGTGAGTGATTTCTTTACAAATGTGCAATTAAAGAGGCAACTTAGGATATTTTTTTCCAGAATAAAAGAATAGTATGTTTCAAAGGTATATTCAAGTCTTTACTTTCTTATAAGCCATAATATAGCCTATGAATTTGAAGTGAGACTATTTCCCTCAGTCAGTAGCAGTCTAATTTTGGAAATCTTAAGAATTTCAGAGAACTTATTAGTTTAAATAAAATGTAATTAGAAAAATAAAAAATTTTAAAATGAATATACTTCAATATAAAATTATATTTTAATTTTCTAATATATCGCTACTTCTTAATCATAGATTACTTAACAATATGGTAAATTCTGATTCTTCCATCCCTCTGCTGTAATCTACTTCAAACTTCTTTGTTCCTACTGCTCTTTAAATTGCTGAGCCCTGATCGTTCATTTATTCAGCAGGTATGTGTGGGACATTGACATTTTACCAGACACTGTTTTGTTCATTTTCTCATTTATTTTCAGAGCTTCAATCCTCTTCTAAATGTATATCTTGAGCCTGGACCATCTGACTAGGCACTAGTTAAACAGTGTTCCTTGTTAAATGGTTTTATTTACATGTCCTATTTGATAGAGTCAGAGTTTCTAAAATCTATCAATCATCTCCCCTCAAATAATCCTTCTTTAGACAACTCAGCTTCTCTTTTTATTTTGTAGTAAAGCTTAATGGATCATGGTAGAACTATATGATAGTTAATTAACAAACCTAGATTCATAAGTCATATTCCAAAAAGACAATACAATTGCAGAGTTTCAAATATAAAATATTTTACTAGTAGATACAAAATCTAGATTTTTAAGGTGAATACAGTGATCCTTTAGCACAGGAAGGTGTGACAAGTAGGATTTGTTTTTCAAAATGTTAGTGCCATTTCCCCATTGTTATAAAATATTGAGCTAATGGTGATATCATGTTTAATTTGGGGAAATAATTAATAAATGGAATTTTAAAGAAGTTTTATGGGTAACTGATAATTTAAGAAAAAACCTGTCATTTTAATTCTCTTGATTTTGCCTTTCCCCACTTGGACTAGATTGGATTGAAATTTCAATTTCATTTGGCTTTAAGGTTTATTTGGTTAAAGGATTAGCAGTATTGCAGAATTGTTGAGAGCAGAGATTATGACACCAAATTGCCTTGGTTTGACTTTTGCTAGTTTTATGTACTTTAGCAATTTACTTACCTCATTGTGCCTCTGTTTTCTCATCTACTAAATAAGGATGCTAGTGAAAGTCACTCAGTCCTGTCCAACTCTTTGTGACTCCATGAACTATACAGTTCATGGAATTCTCCAGGCTAGAATACTGGAGTAGGTAGCCTTTCCCTTCTCCAAAAGATCTTCCTAACCCATGGATCGAATCCAGGTCTCCCACATTGCAAGTGGATTCTTTACTAGCTGAGCCACAAGGGAAGCCCAAGAATACTGAAGTGGATAGCCTATCCCTTCTCCAGCAGATCTTCCCAACCCAGAAATCAAACCGGGGTTTCCTGCATTGCAAGAGGATTCTTTATTGACTGAGCTGGGCTGTGTAAAGATGAAATGAGTTAATACATATGAAGTGCCTACCATAATGCTCAGCATTAGTTCTTATTATAAGTAGAGTTATTTTCTACTTTGGTACTGCCAAGCTAGCAATCAACTTCAGTGCTAACTGATACTGAATTATGGTTGTTTTCATTCAGTTATATGTGTATATGTGGAAGGAAGTTTGTGGGCAGAATTTGAATGTGATTATGTTTGTGTTCTTTTCTATAAAGATGACCTGTCATTAATCCGGAAGAATAGAATGGCACTTTTTCAACATTTGACTTGTGTGTTTCCAATTCTGGATAGTCTCCTAACTGCCAGAGTGATTAGTGAACAAGAACATGATGTTATTAAACAGAAAACACAAATGTCTTTACAAGCAAGAGAACTGATTGATACTATTTTAGTGAAAGGAAATGTTGCAGCCACCATATTCAAAAACTCTCTACAAGAAATTGATCCCATGTTATACAAGCGTTTATTTGGTGAGTGCTGAAAAATTACTTTAGAAACTTTCTAGGTCAATTGAATATATGCTCATATTAATAATTTGTGATTACTGAAAATAATTTGTAAACTAGTAATTGTACAAAAAGGCTTTCATTGCTTTGACATTATGAAAATTATTTATAGTGTTTGGCCAGAGTCCAAACTGTTAGTTTAAAAATATATATTCTGTGACTGAATATTGTTAACCTTATTTGTAATAGTAATGCTTTTGCTTTTGCTCCCTTAGTGCAACAAGACATAAAATACATTCCTACAGAAAATGTTTCAGGTAAAATATTAATAATTTAAACCAGAAGAAAACATTGTTTTTTATTTTCTTGGCTTTTCATTGGAGGAGAAGCAGCAAATTGCCTTTTATTAACATTTTTTCTGTCTTCTTAGATTTACCAGTGGAAGAACAATTGAGGAGACTACAAGAAGAAAGAACATGTAAAGTGTGTATGGACAAAGAAGTGTCCATAGTGTTTATTCCTTGTGGTCATCTAGTAGTTTGCAAAGACTGTGCCCCTTCTCTAAGAAAATGCCCTATTTGTAGAGGTACAATCAAGGGTACAGTTCGTACATTTCTTTCTTGAAGAAGATCTAAAACTCTGTCTAAACTTATACTAGAATTAATGGATGAAATGTATTATAATTTTAACTTTGATATTGTTTTGGTTTCTTTAAGATTTTTTTATTTATCTGCAACTCAGAAGATTTTGTTTTATATAAATATATTTATATAAATATATGTAAAATATGAACATGCATATTTTATATAGCAGGGAATGATGGGCTTTTGTTCTTATGAACAAAACACAGGGATAGCACTATAAGCACAATTATAAATTAAAATTTCAGCATTATTGAAATTGTAAGTGATGTAAAATTTAAGCTTTTGAACTGACTTTTCCGAATTTTGCATATTTTTTAGTTGTATTAAGAATCAGGAACACATTCTCATGCTTTTTCCATCAATGTCCTATACATAGAAGGTCTTGATATTTGTTGAATGACTTTTTAGGACATAATGTTTTTGTAAAGAATTCTATGAGGAACATTTTAATAAAGCAATCAAAATTACTGTTGTTCTTGATACGTTCATTTCTATGATATCAGATAGTGTACTGACTCCCATGCTCCTTCCATACCTCCCTAAGACCTTTTGAATGTTGAACTCTGCCTTAGATCCCTTTCTGTAAGATGCTTCTTCATTTATACTTGTAGAGCACAGCGGTCAACCACAGCTGGCTTTAATTTATAGGATTTTATAGGATGTCTGAGTCAAAATCAAATATCCTCCCATTAGATTTATTTATTCATTTGTCTGTTGATTTATTCAGGAAGTCTCATGCCTGTCCTGCCTATTGGGAAAGGCCCCCAGTTTTATTCTCACCACTTTGGTATTAATTCTGGGATTTGAGAAGTACACTGGTAGCAGTGTTTGGAATGAACAGCTTGTAAGTCAATTTGTTCTGCTCTGCCAGTGCAGAAAGATTTCCTCCTTTACATTACGTTTGGTACTCTGTGTGTCCAACTCATAATTCTCTAGCCTTTGTTTCCTGTGGAGTTTTTAGGGCTTTAAAACCAGAAGTGACTCTAATTAAGAACAGTCTGGAGAGACAAGCAAAAAAGCCAGTCATCTAAACTAGTTCTAAATGGCTGCTAGAGTTCCATAGAGAGAAAGCTTAGGAACCAAGTAAGAGGGGAGATTCCGTCTCTTCAGGCTGTTGCTGGGAGGCTGCATATGATGCTGCTGATTTTGCATCTTTGTTTGAATATTTAGTTGGCTAGCCTCATGCTAACCACAGTGTCCTGCAGGGGTGCGAGGCTGAATCAGTTGGATTATTGCTTAGATGATTTGTGGTGGTGGTCAGTTGCTCAGTCGTGTCCAACTCTTAGCGACCTCGTGGACTGCAGCACCGGAGGCTTACCTGTCCTTCACTGTCTTCTGCAGCTTGCTCAAACTCATGTCCACTGAGTTAGTGATGCCATTCAACCATCTCATCCTCCGTTGCCCCCTTCTCCTCCTGCCCTCACTCTTTTCACAACATCAGGGTCTTTTGCAATGAATCGGGTCTTTGCATCAGGTGGACAAAGTATTGGAGCTTCAGCTTCAGCATCCGTCCTTCCAGTGAATATTCAGGGTTGATGTCCTTTAGGATTAACTGGTTTGATTTTGCAGTCCAAGGGACTCAAGAGTCTTCTCCAGGACCACAGTTCAAAAGGACCAGCATCAAGTCTTCAGCTTGCAGCCTTCCTTATGGTCCAACTCAGCCTTTTCAGATAAACAGTTAGATAGTATATACACTTCTGACAGCAGCTGTGTTTCTATCTAGTTCTCACTGCATGCTGCACTTAATATTTGAACTTTTCCATATCCACTGTAAAAGTCTTGTTCATTTCTCATTTTAGTAGTATATGTATAGCTAACATAACCAAATTATTCAGATATTTTGTTATTACCCTGTTAGTTAAATTGAAAAAAGTTTTTTTCAAAGTCACTGTAGATAATAATGTAGTTTCACTTGCTGTTGCCATGTCAGGTATCAGGCATGTTTTTAGATGCTTGACATTCAGTCATTCATTTGATTCCCTCCATCTTCACCCCTCACCCAACCTAGCCTTCCAATTCCCATAACTGAGTAGATAATTTAAACCTCAATATACATTATACACTAAGTGTTATAATTCAAAATTTGCAGTGGGCTTAATTTCTTATTTAGATTATGCTCATTAAACTTCCATCCATTCTTTTTATTCATTTTCTTGTGTTACTTAGTACTATTAGCCTGTAAATGCCTTTGTGATCACAGGCAATGTTATTCAACCATCTTTACCTTGTTTCGATGGCTTGCACATGATAGTAGACAGTGTGAATGTTTGCTGTGTAAGTTCTAGGCAAAACGAAAGGTTGTTTACGGGATTCACTGTTTTAGAAGCAACACTGCTGCTGCTGCTGCTGCTGCTGCTGCTGCGTCACTTCAGTCGTGTCCGACTCTGTGCAACCCCATAGATGTCAGCCCACCAGGCTCCCCCGCCCCTGGGATTTTCCAGACAAGAACACTGGAGTGGGTTGCCATTTCCTTCTCCAGTGCATGAAAGTGAAAAGTGAAAGTGAAGTAGCTCAGTCGTGTCCTACTATTAGCAACCCCATGGACTGCAGCCTACCAGGCTCCTCCATCCATGAGTACTGGAGTGGGGTACCATTGCCTTCTCCAAGAAGCAACACTAGTACCCTTGAAATAGTATTAGTAAATCAGGATTACTCATTCTTTTTAAAACTATGCCAATCCCCACCCTTCTAGTCAAGAAGAGATGGGCAAGGTCCAATTTCCCGGTATGTACTGTGCAAATACAGTAGTAGGTTTTTTTTTTTCCAAGTTGTGCAATATACCTGCTCTTCATCAGATTCTCACCTGGCCCTGTACAGTTTACAACCTCATTTTCTGCCACTTTTTTCTTGCTCACTATAGCTCAGCTACTTTGGTTTTCTTCAGTTTCTAAACATGGCAGGCTCTTTTGCTTCAGGGTCTTTGACTGGACTGTTCTTTCATTCACTCTTTCCCTGAAAAATTTCTACTCATTCTTCAAGTCTTAGCTTAGATGTTACTTCTTCAGAGAGGCTTTCTGTTACTTCTTACAGCTAGATTATATCCCTTAAACTGTCTCACGACTGAGCGACGGAACTGAACTGAAACGGTCTTTCCAAAGGCCTCTTTTATTTTTTTATGAAATTTATCACAATTTGTGTTTACACATTTATTTGTGTTGTCATGTTTATTGTAAAAATTTCCATGAGAAAAGGAACCATGTGTTTTGTTTGCCTTACATGTCTAGCACCTAACTCAGAGCCTGACATAGAATAGGCCCTTACTGAATGAGTGAATGAATGACTTTCTATGAGTAGGGTTGGGATATGAGAAGGAATTTCTTCCTCCATAATTATCACTGTTGATAAAGTACTAAGGCATAATCATTGGTGTAGAATCATGGGCCAAATTCTGCAGTCCTTTAGATATCAAAGGGAAGTTTTAGAGAAGAGCAATCAACTCAGTTAAAAAAAGATTTATGTAGGAAATGGGACTAGCAATTATTTTCTGAATGATGAAGCAAGGCAATTATTTTCTAGATGATTTCAAGTTTGGAAAGAGCATTTTAAAAAGCTACAAATATGGGCATTGGAATCTTAATAATAATAATTTACATGTATTGAACTTGCATGTACTAAGTGTCTGTAGACATTATCTCATTAGAGAATCACTGTAACTTAAAAAAGTATATAACACAGGGACTTGCAGTGCAAGTTTGGGGTTCAAATTATAGCTGAGTAATCTTGGACAAATTATTTAACACCTCTGTGCCTCTGAGTGTATCTGTGTGGAATGGGGATAATATACTTGTTGCTATATTATCATCTCATGTCCTGTGATGAGATTAACATCTCATCTCCCATGAGATGTTTCTCATGGGATTGCGGTGAGAATTTAAAGAGCTGATGCTGTTAAGATGCCTGGAGTGCTCAACAAATACTAAGTAGATACTGTTCTTGTTTTTTAAAGATGAAAGAGCAGAGGTTTAGAGAGGTTTAGTATATTGCCCAAGGTCTCATAGCTGGTAAGTGAAAGAGTTGGAAGGAGAACTCATACTACTATCAATTGGAAGAGACCTTAGGAGTTCTTTTTTCTTTTTTTTAAATTTATTTTTTAATTGAAGGATAATTGCTTTACAGAATTTTGTTGTTTTCTGTGAAACCTCAACATGAATCAGCCACAGGTATACATACACCCCCTCCCTTGTGAACCTCCCTCCCATCTCCCTCCGCATCCCACCCCTCTGGGTTGATACAGAGCCCCTATTTGAGTTTCCTGAGCCAGACAGCAAATTTCCGTGGGCTATATATTTTACATATGGTAATGTAAGTTTCCATGTTACTCTTTCCATACATCTCACCCTCTCCACTCTCCCCATATCCATAAGTCTATTCTCTATATCTTTTTCTCCACTGCTGCCCTGTAAATAAATTCTTCAGTACCATTTTTCTGGATTCCGTACATATGCATTGGTATATGATATTTATCTTTCTTTTTCTGACTTACTTCACTCTGTATAATAGGCTCTAGGTTCATCCACCTCATCTGAACTGACTTAAATGTGTTCCTTTTTATGGCCGAGTAATAGTTCATTGTGTATATGTACCACAACTTTATCCATTCATCTGTTGATGGACATCTAGGTTGCTTCCATGTTCTAGCTATTGTAAATAGTGCAGCAATGAACAATGGGATACATGTGTCTTTTCCAATTTGGGTTTCCTCAGCATATATGCCCAGGAGTAGGATTGCTGGGTCATATGGTGGCTTTATTCCTAGTTTTTTTTTAAGGAATCTCCATACCATCTTCCATAGTGGCTGTATCAATTTGTATTCCCACCAGCAGTGCAAGAGAGTTCCCTTTTCTCCACACCCTCCCCAGCATTTATTGTTTGTAGACTTTTTGGTGATGGCCATTCTGACTGGTGTGAGGTGATATCTCATTGTAGTTTTGATTTGCATTTCTCTAATAATGAGCGATGTTGAGCATCTTTTCATGTGTT